TGGACCGTGGATCCGAACATGGCTGTCGTCAGCTCTTACAGTCGGACTTTGTAGAGTCCGCGTGGGATCCGCGCTTGGCAATGTTTGGGACGACCGTGTCTACCACAAGCAATCTCGCCAAGTCCGGATCCCGGCGAACTTCAGGTCGCCGCCTTCTGCAAACAATGTTTGCGGCGCGCCTGCAGGACCGTGGATCCGAACGTGGCTGTCGCCAAGTCGTGAAGTGTACATATGCGAAGTCCGCCGAGATCCGCACTTCGAAATGTTCGGGACGGAGAGGTGCATAGACACCTGTGTCCCTCCCATGCAATCTCACCAAGTTGGGATCCCGACGAACTTCAGGTCCCTGCCTTTCGGAAGATGTGGGGCGGCGCGCCTGCTGGACCGTGGATCCGAACATGGCTGTCGTCAGCTCTTATAGTCGGACTTTGTAAAGTCCGCATGGGATCCGCGCTTCGCAATTTTTGGGACGACCGTGTCTACCACAAGCAATCCCACCAAGTTCGGATCCCGACGAACTTAAGGTCGCCACCTTTTGCAAGACATGTTTGCGGCACGCCTGACGGGCCGTGGATCCGAACGTGGTTGTCGCCAGGTCGTGGAGTGCAAATATGCGAAGTCCGCCGAGATCCGCACTTTATAATGTTTGGGACGGAGAGGTGCGTGGCCAGCTGTGTCCCTCCCATGCAATGTCGCCAAGTTCGGATCCCGGCGAACTTCAGGTCCCTGCCTTTCGCAAGATGTGGATCCGAACATGGCTGTCGTCGGCCCGTGCTGTGTAAATATGTGTACTCCGCCCGGATCCGTACTTGAAGATGTTCGGATCCGCGGGAAGTTCGCGTCTCGGGCTTTGAGGTGGTTTGTCTTTGCTCTTTGCGCCTGGACGTGCTCGCCGACCACCATCGACATGTGCCAAACAGTCGGTCGATGTCGTTGCGAAATGCCAAAAGCACTCTTAGGGGTCCATGTTGCGGGGTTCGGGTCCATTCGGCGCACAGTGCGGCGCTGGCTGAGCGAGTCAGCCCGATTGTGGATCTTGCCTCGCACTCCCCATGGCTGTCGCTCACGCTCCTCAAATTCAAATCCCGGCGGACAACAAATTTTCACATGCCAGCTCTTCTCTGTGTCATTCCTCTGTAGCCCGCGGGTAGCGAAGATAGTGCAAGTTTGCCCGGATCCGAACTTCGGGTTCTCCCTGTGGGGGGGGGCCGATTCACGGAATGGTTAGCGGGGTGCGGCCTTCGAACGTGGGCTTCATCCGGGCAAACGACGCATCCTTCTACGTTTCGCTGCCGTGAGCTCTCCTTAAGATCGTGCCCGGCTTGCTTTGCGTTTTTTTTTTGGCCTCGATCGCTTAGCCGGGAGTTGCGTGTGCGTAGTTCTCCGTTGTTTGGTGGTGGGTTTTGTGAGAGGGCTCCGCGCGCGTAGTTCGCCGTGATCCGAACTTCGTCTTTCGTCGGCGGCAAAATGCGGTCGGCGTATCCGACCTGGCTTTCCCAACGTTTGTTCGTCGTTCCCAACGTTTGTTCATCGTTTTTCGTTAACGTTCGGTCTGTGGTCGATCCGTTGCCACCTGTGCTGTTTTCTTCCAGTTTTTCGTGGTCAGACCGAGTCGTGGTTTGCTATATTTGCTTTGTCGTCCGCAGGGAGGATGTCTTCGTCTCGGGGCGAGGGGCAGCCTGTCGGTACCTCTGGGATGGGTTCGGGGAAAGATTCCACGAAAAGGTCGACTACGGCCTCAAAATCGTGGTCGGACCACTCGAGGTCGAAATGGTTCGTGGACTGGTGTTGTGGGGATGCTTCCGACCCGAGTAAACAACCGTGCGGTCCTGTCGTCTTCGTCGTCTCCAACAAGCGGCACAGGGTGCTGGGGGCCGTTCAGCGATGGGAGGACGCCAAAGGGACTCGCCGTCGGTTTTTTATGAAAAACGTTTATGGGGCGAAGGGCAACGTCGTCGACAATTGTAAGGGGGCGTTGTTGGATATGGATTTGTTCGAGGGCTTCGGAGCGGGTGCTGTGAACACCCCATTCTACAATGACCTCCTCCGGCAGGGGGATTTGTTTTGGGTCGAGAATTTTTTAACTTGTTGGAGGAGAGGGACGTCTGCCTCGACGTCCCCTGCGACGTCGGCCCCGCCCTGGAGCTGTCGACGCCCTTGCAGTTCTGCGGCGGTTGTGAAACCAGTGGGGCTGCGGCGGAGGGGGGAGACCTGGGTTCTGGTCCGGCAAGTCAACTGGAGCGGCCGAAAAGCCATGGTAATTTCGACGACAGCGGAGACGAGGGAACACCGCTGCCGATAACTTCTCACTCGGGCCGTAGAGTTCGCTCCGTGTTGTCTATACCTAGGGTCCAGCATACAGAACCGGTTAGAGAAAAGGTCTCGGCGGGTTCAGGAAAGGCGGCAGTCCATTTGCAGACTGACGAAGACCTTGCCACGGAAGAGGAGCCGGTTGCCGGAGAGGGAACGCAGAGCACTCCACAGAAAAGAAGGGGCGATCGTGAAGACGAGTTTGTCGGCTCTTCGAAAAAAACAGAAGACCAAGACCCCAAGGGGTGCGGGCGAGAAAAGGAAGGGGACGGGGGGGGAACAAGACCGCCCGGTTGGCAAACGACCGGCTTCGAAACAAAAGCAGCCTGAGTCGGAGCCTTCYTCGTCACGGCCTCCCATCGATGTGGACGCCGGGTACTTCCTCGAGTACAAAGACGGCGTCAGGACAAGGCGGGAGTTTGAGATTAGCCCGTCTCAGGTGGTCGACATTGGGGAGTGGGAGGATCTGTACAACCAACGGTCCTTGGATCCCGTCCTAGTGGGACTGATCAAAGAAGCGATGTGGTTGGCGTTCGAGAATAAAGAACAGTCGTACGAGTTGCCAAACCCTGAAGCTCGCACCGCTGGGGCTTCAAAAACCGACTCCGGGGACCAGGGCGAGACGTCTGAAGCCGAAGGAATGGAAGGACGAGCTGGCGGGGCAGTACTACTACTACGCGGTGTGCGGGCAGCACAACGCGGCTGCAGCCTGGTCGCTGCTCGGCAGCGAGGTGGCCAAGAGGTACAATTTCGAGCAGTGGCCAGTGCGAATGCTGTACTTTTCAAACGAAGACTTCGACGGGTATTTCCTTGTTAGCTCCCAGGACAACAAGAAAGACCATAAGGCACCAGCTAGACAGTTGAAACTGTCTATGAAAGACATTCGATGGCAGTGGAAACACGATGGTTGCCCTAGAGCTGTCATGGGGAACCCTAGCGGGAGACAAGCTCAGGTCAAGGATTGGCRTAAATTTTGTACAACGGCGCTCAACAAAGCACCGCACAATGCCTTGTGGCTTCTCGCGGACGYAAAAGGAGAAGACGCAGTTAAGAAACAAAGTGCTGCCTTGCGTTGTTATTTCCGTTTGGCGATGGCCGGCGAAAATGTGTGGAAATTGGTCATGGAAGTTTTTGAAATTTGGGAGACTTGCAGATTGTTGAGCCATGACGGGGCTAAGTGGATCGCCAAGAAGAAGAAGGTCAAAAACGTCAAGCCCGGGGTGACATACATCGACAACGAGAAGTTGGGCAGAAAGGAGGTGGTTTACAACGTCCCCGTGGAGCCGCCAACCAAAAAAGGCAAAAAGGAGAAAGAGGAGGGTGATTGGTTCGTGCAGGTGCCGGACCCGGACGCTCATCGTTGGAAAGTGATGGAAACACTCACCGACAGTGAGAAGTGTCGAGTTCTGAAGAAGGTCCTTGCTTGCGAGGTCGTTTGGGTCCAGGCAGGCTCCCCGTCGTTGGCGAAGCTGGGAAAGTTGAGCGTGCAGGACATGGTGCAGCTGGTGAAGTGCGACCGCGTGCTCGTCCGGCTGTGGAATTACTACCAAGTCAAGCACGAGAAGAGGCTGGACGCGGATTGGATCCAAAAGTGCCCGTTCCTGAAATCCAGGTCCACCGTGTTCAGGAAGTTCGAAAGTCGGGGGCTAGATGACGATTTGTGGGACGGTAGCAGGAAATACGTTTCGGATTCGGCTTTGTTCAAGGACTGCCCGCCGTATTTGGGTTGCGAGGATGACCACTCCATCGAGGCGACGGAAAAATTGGCGGGCCACAAGAAGTTGACGGTCGACTGGAGAAACAAGGTTCTCTCCGTGTTGACAGGGAATAGACTGAAGAGCCGAGAGGTCGCACTGGCAGAAGGCATTGTCCACATCAAATGGAAAGACAAGGGGGACGTGACATCGATCGCGCCGTTCGGCAACGACCCTTTGGAGGCTGACATAAGGGGTGCAGAATTGAAGGAGGCAGTGGCAGCCACGAAGAGTCACACCTTCGTACTAGATCTGTGCGAGCCGGTTGACCTAACACTGTGGAAACCCCAAGTGTGGGAGACTCTGAATTCCTATCTTCAGACTTAACAGCGATTTCGTCAAAACGGACATTTTATATTTTTTGAACGAAATTGAAATTGTCATTTTCATTGTGATTTTGTTGACTTTTGATGTTTTGTTAAGTCAAGTTTTGGGAGGTATCCCACTTTTGTTTGTATTTTGTGCTCCTGTTTACCGCAAATTTTACATCGCTTTCTTATAAAATTTCGGGGGTGTTATGATTTCATTGCCATTATGTGAAGCTCTAGGGGTCTTTAATGATCAGTTTTGTTACGTTTCAAGCATATCGATTAACATTTATTATCTTTCACAATATAAAATCATGAAATTTTCTGGTTTTCCCCGGCCAATACATGAAGATTAGAGAAACATATTGAGTACCATACCAATAAACACCTATGATTAACAGTACATATGTGGGTTGTTTCATGATTGCATTGGTTGGTTTGCTATTCTTATGTTTGTTTATATGTATTTAATACTTACTGAAGTGTTGTGCTGTCCTCGCAAATACCATCCTCTTGCCCCTATGCCCTCCTGCCCTCCCTCGAAAACATATTGAGCCCCCTGTTTTGTCCCCTCCCCCCCCCAAATATATATATTTTTTATATACATGGTCCACACTAGTAACACTAAAAAAAAAAAAAATCGTTTGTTAGAAAATGATGGTGAACACGTACTAGCTACCTGGAGGAAATCCGCCTTGTCAAAAAGAAAAAACAACTAAATCGGTCAATGAAAAAAATAAAAACGTCTAGTACTCCAACTTTAATGCACGAAAAACTCTCTCACACGCAAAAACTCTACTATCTTGTAAGCAAACGACTCATTAGCAATCTTCTGTCAACAGATGCAACAACGTCGTAAGTGAATGAGGCTGGTGCGTTGCCCGTTTGCTCGGCGGAGTACATTGTCCATGATGTTGAAGTTGGTAGTTAGTTTTGTTTTCTTGTATTTTTGAGGAACCCCTGACGCATCTTGCTCTTTTATGACGACTGACGATATCCCGACTGTGATAGATGTTCTTCGAGCTACGAATTTCAACATTGCATCCCGTGCGTTGATACAATACTGTTTGATGTGTTGCTTGTACGCTCACATCATCAAATCTTCATCGTCCCTTCGCGGTATCTCGTGTCTCTACATCTGTCTTGCACACACTGTAAGCCCTTAACGATAACTTACAACAACACATGCAACGGTTGCGCTGCATTTGTGAGGCACCATGGCAGACACAAGCCCATAACCGTAAAGCACTTGTTTGTACATTGCGATCCCCTTGTTCTTGTAAGTATTGTTATGGTCGCATACCTTCACGAGATTGTAAAATTTTCTTCTTACACCACGAGGATATAGGTTCAGTGACGGCTTGTCATAGGCAAAATCCCAAGTGATAAGTCCGATCGCGTTACAGTGTTTTTTTAGTTGCTCAGATGTCATCTCCGCTTATTTTATCGGCGTTCCCCACTTCTCCTATCGTTGCTGCCTGAGCATCTATTCTGAGTCCATACTATATGGGACAAAAAAAAAAAAAAACCCATAAATATCACAATTAGGGATGAAGTATGGAATAAAACGCACCGCTTGCATAAGTCCAGAGACTCAGAGAGTCGTTGTCATTCCCCGCATGCATATGCGGGTCATTCGAGAATGATTAGTGTGGTTGCGGAACGACTATTAATGCAGAGACCGACTGAAGGCGGACTGCAAGTTGTTTTGTTTGCCACTTTCGCGTCGTCGAATATGTTCGACAATATTGAACTTTGTTATTGTGTTAGTTTTTTTCACTTTCGGTTTCTTACTGTCGTCGTTGTGGCATGTGATTAAAGTCGTCGCCACGTGACTGGTGATCCTCGACCTTTCGTGGATGAAGCGCAGCATTGCGTCTTTGATTTCGTTGCATACATGTTTGACATACTTCAACGTCGCCCTTTGCATGGTAGTGGTTTGCTCTATTGACGACACCTTCGTTCGTTCAATCCGTGTCGCGCACCGTGTCAGACAACCGTTTGAACAAAATGCCACGCATGTCACTGATCCGTCACGCTCATTTTCCCCCCGCATGCGAACTAACCCCAACCAGTAAAACGTTTTTTGTCCATTTGCCACTACCTTGCCTTTCGTTGTTTGCATCAGGCTCAACCGTTTTGGCGAGGTTGTAGAGTTATAGGCACTCCTCGTCGTACCACAACTCAATCAAGGGCTGCAATTCACACCAGTCGACTGCCTCCACGCCGACAACCCTCATTTGCGTTCTTGTTTTGCATGATAGGAGGTCCTCTCATATCACCAGCGTCCCTCATTTCTCATTACGCTTCCACTCCGACGATGCAGACATTCTAAGCACAACGAAAAAATGAGAAAAATGCAGAAGACCAGGTACGACAAGCAGCAGACACCAACCTTAGAGAGTCGCCTACAAATGTTGTGGAAAACGTCTTTCTTTGCGGCGTATACATCGACGGAAGCCGAATGCGATTTCTGATCTCGAAGTTCGGTTCCGTCGTTGAGGTCATCGCTGTATTTTTTGACCGTGTTCCTGCCGATGCCCAGTATGAGACACCAAGCAGTGACGCCCACAGGGTGCAACTGCACTATCGGTTTGACTGTCGGTTTAAGGTCAACTAATGAAATGAAGTTCTAGAGTTTCGCTATCCACCACTTCCACCTATCCTTCCCTTTGAGAACGTGGTAGTCACGTCTACACTTAACCACGTCCTCTACTCTCTGTTTAGAAAAACATCGGTACGTCTTGCAACATGTTTTGTGGAGGACGGCCTCACACTCGTCTACGCTACATCTACGTTCGAAAGTGGAGGTGGATGCCGAAGCACTTCGTTTCTTGAGTCTGTACGTGTATTTTCTCTTTCCTTCTGTACCACACAACATAGACAAGGCGACACGTGATGCCGTCTTGCAACATGTTTTGTGGAGGACGTCCGACGAACGAGCAACCTCAACCGCCCCCCCTTCATTGCCTTCGCGTGATGGCGACGATAGCATGTCCATGGGAACATATCGGTCGTCAGCGTCAGTTGCCGGTGGCGAAGTCCCCCGAATAGAAGGTTCCAGAGATCCGTGCGCAGGGCCTATGCCGGGAGTAGAAGGCAAGCAGCCGACGTCGTTGATGATGTCGTCAAGGCAAAGATGCCACACGACGTTGATATTGGAAGAAGGCATGGGCCGATGACGTGTGCAGCGTTTGGGCATACCATCACCACGGTGTGCAGGGTGCCCATATTTCGACGGTGTGATGATAATATATAGAGACCGCCTCTCACAGGCGTTTTCAGGAGCATCGGGCACACGCGTGCGAAAAACTTGCACATAAGGCAGAGAACTGTAGTAACAACTGTACATCCCGTTTTCCATTGAGTCCTTAACATACATGGAAATGACTTGTGAGAGGACATAACATAACAGAAGAATCCAAAACAAAAAGACACATGAGAAGGGACGCCGAACCACCCACCACCCACCTCCGGGCGGAAGACGGACCCGGACCCTCTCCCCCCCCCCCGACCCCCCCATCGTGATTCTCCCCCCCCAACCCAGGCGGATCAAGAACGTTGGACCACGTCTAGCGAGCAAGGGGGTCCGACGGATCGTGGAGGGTCTGGCCGACGCTGGACCCCCCACGCTCGACGTCAAAGGGTGTCGGGCGAATCCGGACCATAGGCAGCATAGGGCTTGTGCCCTCATAAGGAAACAGTGTGTAAAAGGCGGACCACCTGTAAAAGCAAGGATGGGGATCCAGCTGATGCGGAACGCCAGACCCCTCATCGAACGTGGGGGTCCTTATCGAACGTGGCGGATTCGCCGGACACCCTCATCGAACGGAAGGGCCCGGCGGATCCAGAACGCCGGACCCCCCGCAACTGATCAAGGGGTCCAGCGTTCCGGATCCGCCGGACCCCTCCGTTCGATGAGGGGGTCCGACGTTCCGGAATGAGGGGGGTCCAGCGGTTCCAGACGCCGGACCACCATGTTTGGTGAGGGGGCCCAACGTTCCGGATCCGCTGGCCCCCCCCGTCGTGCAGGGGGGGTGTTTGGTGAGGGGGTCCGGCGGATCCGGAACGCCAGACCGACCCCCGTGTTTGGTGAGGAGGTCCGACGTTCCGGATTCACCGGACCCCCGTGTTTGGTGAGGGTGTGATAGGTGAGGCGGATTCGGAACGCCGGACCCCCGTGTTTGGTGAGGGGGTCCGGCGTTCCGGATCCGCCGGACCCCGTGTTTGGTGAGGGGGACCGGCGTTCCGAATCCGTCGGACCCCCTCATCAAACGCGGGGGGTCCGGCGTTCGGAATCCGCCGGACCCCCTCATCAAGCACGGGGGTCCGACGTTCCGAGACTGCCGGACCCCCTCCTTCGTTGCCGACAAGGGGAGGGGGGGTCCGGCGGATCCGGAACGTCGGACCCCTGTGTTTGGTGAGGGGGTCCGGCGTTTCGGATCCGCCGGACCCCACCCCCCCTGTCGAGCAGGGGGGGTGTTTGGTGAGGGGGTTATGGCGGATTCGGAACACCAGACCCCTGTGTTTGGTGAGGGGGTCCGACGTTCCAGATCCGCCGGACCCCCATGTTTGGTGAGAGGGTCCGGCGGATCTGGAACGCCGGAACCCCGTCTTTGGTGAGGGGGACCGGCGTTCTGGATCCGCCGGACCCCCCCTAGTGCCCCCACCCCGGTCGAGCAGGGGTGGTGTTTGGTGAAAGGGTTCTGGTGGATCCGAAATACATGACCCCCGTGTTTGGTGAGGGGGTCCGGCGTTCCGGATCCGCCGGACCCCCTCACCAAACACGGGGGTCCGGCGTTTCCGAATCCGCAGGACCCCCTCACCAAACATGGGGGTCCGGCGTTCCGAATCCACCGGACCCCCTCACCAATCAACGCTGGGACCTACTTACCGGGGATGCTCTTATAACCTCGCTAAGTAGGTTTCCCATTTACGAAGTAAAAAAAA